ACAGCTTAACTAACCTGACATTTGCAGGGAGGGATACAACCAGCGTAGCTCTGACTTGGCTCTTCTGGCTCCTCGCCAAAAACCCCGGGGTGGCTGCCAAGATACGGGACGAGATCAGAGACGCAAAGCTATTCAGCGGCAGCGGCAGCGGCAGCGACCATATTGACTTGATTGACAAATGCCGGGGCAAGCAGGAGCTGGTCTACCTTCACGCCACAGTGTGCGAAACCCTGCGGCTGTACCCTCCGGTGCCACTGAACCACAAAGTGGCTGCGGAGGTGGACGAGCTCCCCAGCGGGCACCTAGTCAAGCCTAACACCCGCATCATACTATCCTTTTACTCGATGGGGAGGATGAAAACGATATGGGGCGAGGACTGCCTCGAATTCAAGCCAGAGCGGTGGATCACGATGTCCTCGGGCCCTGTCTTGAATTTGAAGCACGTCTCGCCCCACAAGTTCCCGGCCTTCAATGCGGGACCCAGAACCTGTCCCGGTAAAGACATGTCTTTCTTTGTCATCAAAATCGTTGCCGCCTCCATCATACATCGCTACCATTTTCAACTCCCCGACGACGATCAAGGTCATCCTGTCACCCCCAGCGACTCTGTTGTTCTTGAAGCCAAACATGGCTTCAGAGTGAAGCTCTCTCCTCTTTCCCACTCTCAAAGCTCCCCTACCTAATAAGCTGATAGCTTGTTGTACAAATTTTATACTACGTATATAGTCATCTGTTCGTTTTAAATTGTTGTAGTTCTCTATTCATCTATTTCCCTCACCGAATGTATTATGTTTTCCTAGCATCAAAACGTAATAAATTTGTATTATAATTTCAATTAAAAGTTCTATTCATTTAATTTGCACCATTGCGAGTTTACCCAATCACTAAAACCAAACTCAAAATCATCATCACATTACCCCAATAGCGCAAAGTGAGTCAGATGTACGCAGTCTTACTCAGTTACTCCTGTACGTAAACATTAGATACTGTTTCTGGATGACTCATTGTGAAAATCGCATCGAAAATCACATAGACTGACTGTTGCTTCATAACCAAGAAGACATGTTAGTGAGTCATATTGTTTTATTTCATCATATTCTCAAACAAAAAATAGTGAATTTTTTACTTCATTACAAGGGATGGACATTAAAACCACTCAAAATAAATTAAAAAAATCAATACGCACAGTTATGTTTTGGGAAACTCTCCTTTATTATCAGAATGAGAATGATTGAATGAATCGGAGTAACCCTTTCTCTTCTTATCTTTATCAACAATGGGTTATCCCACATTCCCACCAACAACATATACACACCATTCAAAATCAACAACACTTGGACTTTGGCCCACCCGGTATAATTAAACGAATGATTTTTTTTCCCCATCAGCAAGCACTTAGACATACAACCAACTTGAGGATGGCTATGACATCGAGACACTGGTGAAAAAATAGAGAGACTCGAGGGCATCTCGGACCCCTAGGAAAAAATTTGTGATATACATATTCAAGTAGCATGGTATCCCTCCTAATATGACATTTCTAGCTTAGGCATTGGGTGGAAATCTGTGAGGGCCGCCAAGTGGGGAAAATGTAACTTGTAGGGTCGGGATGAGTGAGATATTTCAAAAATACTTTCTCAAATAACTGTTAGAAATTAAACATGACTTAGCCATAATCAGGGCCGGATGATAGTTAGGGCAAGGGTGGGCTTCAGCCCAGCCCAAATATTTTTCTTTTAATTAGTATAGGTATATGTTAAATTCTCAGCCCATCCCGAAATTAATTCTCAGCCCAACCCAAAGTTAATTCCTAGTCTGCGCACAGCCCAGCACTAAACATACTTGCGCTTCTTGGCGGACTTACGCAGTTACGCGAATAGGACGAAGGAGCTCGATTGTGCGAACTGCAAAGAACGATGAAGAACTGCGACGAAGAAGTGAACTCCAGCCGCGCCACTATACCGTATTATCATTATTGTGTATTAATATATTTGTAACATTTTAGAGTTTTAGTGTTAGGGAGTCACTTTGATTAATAATTGAATTTTTCATTCTTCTAAAAAATTGAATTTTTCATTACTTCTTTTAAAAATTAGTCTTAATAAAAGTGGACGAAGGTAGTATATATACTACTTCTGTCCCACTAAGTTTGGGACAATTCGGTTTAGATGCTTAACTGACGATAAAGCAAACAGATCCCTATCCGCACTCATTTTTCTTTTAGAAAAAAAATTATATATTCAAAAATTACATTAAAAGTTTTGCAAAGTCGCAAAACCAGAACGTAAGAGATTAAGAGTGATTTGTTGACCAAGTGAATATTGTCTGGGACAATCTTAGCAGGACGGAGGGAGTAGTTTATTCCTATAATTTACGAAGTATAAGTTATCGATATGCTCGAGTCCAGATCAAACTGAACATGACTATGCTCGAATTCTGCTTGAATAACTATTCAAATTCAAAATCTAGCCCGTGTTCGAGATGGAAGCTCTAGTCATTAAATTAAATTCGAAATCACGCTCGAACTCGAGTAGTTCGAAAAAAAACTCAGTTCAATAACAGTCATAAGCTAAACCTTTTGTGTGCTGTAACGAAAATTTTTACTGCTTAGCCCATCCCACCCCTCATTCCTAGATCCGCCCCTGGCCATAATAATTATTGATTTATTAAATGTCAACTTATTGGGTTAAGACTTGTTTGAGTAATACTTCGTAATTGAATTGGTTAGCCTGTAATAATGTTAGAGTTGGTGGACAACAAGCTCTCACTCTCATATACCATGTTGAGACGAGACCATGTTTTAAAAAAATTACAAATGCCACACTTCTAACGAAGCATGGACAATACTAAACAATCAAGGGAGTTGATAGGGTGAAGAGTGTTCATCTTCAAACTCTTAGATGTGATCTTAGAGGTGATCTAAATTTGAACTTCTTAAATGAAAAAATGTAATTCAATCAATATCTTACTACTACGTATTATCTAGAGTTTTGGTAATTGTAAATGAAATGAAGAGAAATGGAGAGAAAGTAAATGGCATTACATTGATTGAGAAAGTCCTTCACTCTCTCATCAAGGCTTACTATATTGTGGTGGGCATAGAAGAGCTCAAGGACTTAGAGTCCCTGACCATTGATCAACTTATGGGCTCACTACAAGCCCATAAAGGAAGAGTTATTAAAAATAAATGTAATCAATCCTTGGAACAATTCCCTTACTCAAAACTCTGTTTTAAGGAAAGAAGTGAGAATGGAGGTGAAAAAGAGGCCAACGAGATCGTGTTTATGACTATTCTAGAAGGTTTTTAAGCAAACTTTGAGCTTGCATTTTAAACTAAGTATAGTAAAATTACTTGCAATTGGTCTTAAGACTATATTATTTGTTGCGAGTCAAAGCAATATTGGATTCGATTGTTCCTGCATGATAGGGTGAATTTCCTATTATGTATGTTTGTATTTTTAACTAGTTTTATTAGTTCTAGTTGTAAAAATTACACACTTTTGGTGTAATACTTTATTTTCATTAATTATTTGTAATTTATTTAGATTAGGATTATATTGAGCTTAGGACAGGTCAAAATCATCCCAAGAATCAAAGGATGGATCCTAAAGACCAAAGAATGTGCAAAAAGGAGAAGATCAAATGAAGATTTTGAAATTTGTTCAATACTCGGTCGAGTATTGCCAATACTCGGTCTAGTATTGGCCTGATACGCTGGTCAAAATCAAATCTGGGAGCAAAAGAACGTGGCTGAATATTTGATGAAAATCCTGTCGCATACTCGGTCGAGTATTGGCAATACTCGGTCGAGTATGCCTATATTTCACAATTTAATTTCCAGGAAATTTCCTCTCATACTCGGTCGAGTATTGCCAATACTGGATCGAGTACCGAACCCTGCCACCTCCATTTTGCTATAAATACACCTCATTTCCTTCACATTAAAGGAACCCATTCCTATAGACTTCTAAGCTCAGTCTAGATAAGTTCTTTCTTTATATTTTCTTCATGTTTAGTCTCCAAATGATGAGCTAAACTCTTCCATCTTGGTTTTGCTACTTTGAAGCTTAATGAATTGTAAGTTGTGCGTTATTTTCTTTAATCTTCTTCCTTGAATATTAATTAATTCCTATTCCTATTACATATTAATATTTTGAGCAATACTTAAAGGATCAACTAGTTTTGTTTCATATATTAATTAATACTAGAATCGGTCGATTAATACGCTTGTTATTAACTCGGTCCTTTCACGGTAGTAAACTTGGGTTGTTAATGCATGCGTCTCATGGTTAATAAGCCAAAAGGAATTAATTATATTGATTAAACCAATAAACCGCTTGTGTTGAGGTTATCAATCTCAATCGTTTTCATCTTGATTTTATTGCTACTATCGAGTGAATATACGACGCGTGTTCTATATTAACTCGGTAGTAAGTTTTATTAATGAACGCGTCTCGTTATTAATAACTACCCTCGATGAATTGGATATACTCCTCGATTGAGTATTCGAGAGGAAGATAGTTAAAGATATAACCGGGATCGACGAACATTTCATTAAGTGGATAAAAGCAAAGCCAAGTCTTCTTCTCATTAATTAAACCACATAACTCGTTCATCTTCGTGTTTAAATATAATTTAAAGTTCATCAACCAAACATAAATTCCCCCCTTTTGTTACTTATTTATCTCTTTAAAAAGAAAAGTATTCCTTTCCCTGTGGATACGAACCTGTTGAGGTTATTCCTTCAACCCTTGGACCCAACACGTAAGCCCAAAGGTTTCGAGTGGAGTGAGTGTATGAATGTCTAGCCCAACAACTATCAGATGGATCCGGAAACAAGAGTAATAGCAGGCAATGTAAATAGGTATTATTAACTCCGTAATAACTCCCCTAAGTACAATCTACTTGCTAAAAAGGGCACGTCGGCCGTTCGTCTTACAAGGCAGTCAAAAATGCTGCGAGTAAGAATGCTGAAGCTAGTATGCTAAGAATAGAAAACTGCCAACCCTTTACAATGAAATAAATGCTTCTATTTATACCCGCCAATGGGCAGGTGGCTGTAGTGACGTGGCAGCCTGTGGACCGCTGGTGTCCCAACTACCCAATCTTTAGCATTAAATGCACTTCCCGCCAGAATCTAGGTTTCCCGCCGGATCAGTGGGGACGTTCGTCCACCCAGGAAGTGAGTTGGATTGCTCCAAGTGACCCTCAGGTGATACCGGCTGTTCGTCTCCTGGCCTTGATAGATACTCACCATGTGGACTGGGTTTCCTCCGATGACTACAGGCTTGCTCTGGGGACGTTCGTCGCCATCCCTGGTGGCCCGTGGTTCTGCTCCTTGTCCCTGCATAGACGTTCGTCGGGATGAGCTGCTGGGCCTGAGCCCCCCAACACCAGACGTTCGTCCATCCTCAAGGAATATGGGCCTGTGGGCTGGCCTAGTGTTCTAACTGGACGTTCGTCTGGCAAAATGGGTTAGTGGGCCGGACCTCGGCTTGGGCCCTTAACCCAACACAAGTCCCCCACTTCTGATGTTCTGAGCATGCGCAGGACATAAGGAAGTATGAACCTCCCCGAAGCAGACGTCCGTATCTTGGTACTTGTGTTTATTGCACCTGGTGGAAGCGTACGTTCGTGGTCCTGGTGCTTGACAGCTGTTGACGGTTCAGGAAACGAGGTGACGGCTGATGTTGCGGCGGCGCATTTTCCCGAGGAAGTGTCATCATTACGTTCCCATCCCACGCACAGCGCGTGGGCCGGAATACGCTCCTTGCCACGTGTCAGTCCCTCGTTGGTTTCTCCATCGGTGTTTCTCCTATAAATGCTGGGTTTTCCCTCTGAATTAGGGTTCCCAATTTCTGCTCTCTTGCTCTCGATCTTCCGCAGCTCTTCAAGTCTCCTGAATTCAGCTAACCCCTTTGTAAGGTAATTTCCCCCCTTTGCTTCTTTTCTTTACTCTGATTTCTAGTCGGAATGACTTCGATGGAGATCTCCTCAAGTTCTGATTCCAGTTCGTCGGGTTCCTCCTCGGGCTCCTCTTCTGAAAATGCGAATGCACGCTCCCTGGGCAAAACTAGTGTTTCTGGAAACTCGGGTTCGGCCACGACGGTGGGAACCATCCGGGCTGATGGTGAGCCGGGTGGTGCTTCCCAAGGTAGTGGGAGCAGCGCCAGGGGTGGGGCTTCCCAAGGTAGTGGGAGCAGCGCCAGGGGTGGGGCTTCCCAAGGTAGTGGGAGCAGCGCTAGGGGTGGGGATGCCGATGAGGCAGTGGACGTTATTGATGCGGTCCCCCTGAATGAGCGTCCTGCTGATTATGATTCTGGAGAGGAAGCCGAATCCGGTTCTGATATGGAGGTGTACGATCTGGGCATCCCCACGGATATGGAGCGCCACATCTGCCCGATCAGGAGCGCCCTTGACCACGACCAAGTCCTCTCCCGCGTGGCCCTCAATAAGATCCGTACCTTCCTTCCTCCACCGTTCGTCTGGAGTGTGAGAGGCGCTGAGCATGTGATGAGGAGACGTCCGGGGATGATCATGCTTCACCTGGATTCCGTTGAAGCCGGGCTGCGGTTTCCACTTCATGCGTTCTATGTGGAGTTCTTCCACTGTTTCCAGGTGGCCCCGGCGCAATTCATGCCAAATTCTTATAGATTCATATCGGCCTTCTTGGTGCGCTGCAAACTTGCGGGGGTCGATGCCACTCTGGAGCTCTTCCACTATTTCTACCGCGTCACTCCCCAGAATGCCGACGGGTATCTGAGCGTGGCCGCACGTCCTGGGAGGCGGCTGTTCAAGAGCTACCCCTCGTCCATCCACGACTGGAAGAACCGCTTCTTCTTCCTTCGATACGACGGGCCTCCTCTCCCTCTCCGGTGGAATGGGTATCCCCCAAAGATTGAGTCATCGGAGCCGACCGACGATCTGCTTTTGGATGCGGAGAAGGTGTTGGAGGGTGGCGTCCGTCCCATAGCCGGGTATCTGACCTTCGAGGCACTCTCCGGGGCAGGCATAGGTACCGCCCGTGTCCCTGGACTTTTTCTACCCTTCGACGCTCGTCTCGGGGCACCGGGCGGTCCTGCCCTTCGGGGTGAGTGTCTTATTCTACTTCCCGCTCGTCTTCTAATCCTTGTTGTTTCTTGCAGGTTCTCCGCCAGATCGAGACCAGATGAATCACGCCGAGTGTTTGAAGACAAGGAAGGCCAAAGCGGCCGCTGCTAAAGCCGCACTGGCGAAAGCCAAGAATGCCCCCGCCCCGGAGTCCAACTCCTCGGCTTCTGACGCTGCCTGGCGAACCGCCGAGGGTGAGCAGCACCTGATTGCCACTATGCTGGCTCAGGGTTCCGGGGCCCCTGCTCTTGAAGCTGCCCTTCCACCGCCGGCCGTCCCGTCGAAGGCGGCTCCTCAAAAAGGGACAGAGAAGGTCCCCGAAAAGAAACAAAAGAGGGGCCGCGAGGCAGTCTCCACCGGGCCCCTGCTTGAAGATGCCGGCTCCTTGCCATTGAGCCGCCCGGCGGAAGAGCTTTGGAGGGAGATGGCCCTCAAGGCTGGCCTAGAGCTGCCCAGCCGTTCGTCTTCTGAGGCGACCAGCGCTGCCCTGGCAGCCGCTCTTCAGGTAATTCCCCCTTGCTAGATCTGAGTGCGTTTTTCTTTGACGTTCATCCTCTGATCCTTATTTTTCTTCTGTCATCCAGTCTGGGCTCCTTGTCCTTCAAGCTGAAGCTGCCCGGGAGGCCGATCTCAAGGAGGCCAAGGCTAAGGCCGATGCGGCCATTGCTGCGGCTCGGGAGGCCGCCCGTCGAGCCGAGGCGGAGGCTGCGGCCAAGGGGAGGGAGATTGCAGCCCTGCAGGCTGAATCCCGCAGCCAGTTGGCCGGCCTTGAAAGAGCCGGTTTCAAGCTTGTTCCGGTGCTCCCTGCCGCCCAGGACGCCACTCCGGAGTGGTTAGTCGACACCTCCGGTTACAGGAACACCGGGGAGTTCATGGATTCCGCCAAGGATTATTGCGCCGGAGCCTTCGGTGATGTGTTCTCTGCGGCGCTGGAGAAGATCCCACCCCGGCAGCGTCTGGCGAGCGGGGTCCGGATTCTGGAGAGCTCCCCCTTGTCCCACAAGTTCCTCTACGAGGTCGGCGACAGCTCCTTCGCCGCTGGTTATAATGAGGGGGTCAAGGCCACCCTTCCCATCTTCTCAAGGCTGCAGGGGGCCGACTTCGAGCTCGCTGCAAATACGGACGACGATCTGCTGCTCCAAGCCTTGGGGAAGTTGGGGAGAGACCAACGGCGGGAGGAAGCCAAGGCTAGAGGGGAAATTCCGGAACCCCCGTCCCCCGAGCCCGAGGAAGAGGAGGAGAAGCTGAACCAGGGTGGCAGCCGACCGGGATCCCCCTTCTTTGTGTAATGTAATTTGTATTTTTCCATTCTAACTTTTGTAATGTCCGGCCGTTAGAGCCGAAGAATATACATCCTTTCGCCCATAATTGTTCCATGTTCGTGATCTCTACTTGTTACTTTTCTTCCCTTCGTCCTTTGTTGTATGGAAACTCCCTTTGTATTTCGATATTCTCTGTCGCATAGTCTGCGTGGACGTTCATCTCTGTTCCCCATTTGGTCCGGGGGTAGGGGCGTCTCTTTGCCAAAACCGTGTACACATTTAGTGTGCGGCGCCAGTGTTAAGGTCCGCCTTTGGTTGGTGACACCCGGCGCCGATACTGGCTGTCCCTCCTGCAACAGCATTCCGATGGCAAGACGACGTTCGTCAGGAGTTGGCCAAACAGCATGCCTCGCAAGTGTGGTCATGCGCACATCGGAGATTGCCTCAATGCTTGCCAACGACGTTCCTCTATCGTCGCGTGGCATGAACGCTAAAGCTTCGCGCAAGGATGTCCGTCCGTCCTGCGTGTTCATCTGTCATGAAGTGGAAAGGCGACGTTCATCCTCCGTGCACCTCTAATGGACGTGATTTTTACTTCATCCTTTTGGAGTCCATCGTTTGTAGTATAAGGAATCCTTCCGGCGCCTTGACACATCTTTACCGCTCACGTGGTATCTTGACAATGGGAAGACGTTCGTCGGTAGTTGCCTTGTTAGTACGCGTCTCGAGTATGGACATATGGGCGTATTTCCCTGAAACAGCGCTCGGTGACGACGTTCGTCTACAGTTGCGTGACATGAAAACTGGAGCACTGTAAGACGGACGTAGCCAGTTGATGCGTGTGCCCTCATCGGCCGCCGACGCTAGGGTCAGTCGGGGAATTAAGGAAGCAAGGGAAGGCGAATGTCTTTAAATTCCTCCGAGCCGGTGAGCCCTCCTCAAGGGACGTTCGTGGCACGGTCCCGGATGTCTTTGTGGTGGTTACGCGGCGACAAAATCGAGACGCCTTAAATACCGTGGTAGGTACCGGTACTTAAGCGCCACGTGTCCTGCCTCGGTTGGGGCGATCCCGCGGTGTTGCCTATAAATACCCAGGGTCCAAGTGATCCACTCACATTTTTCCTTACGCTGCACAATTGCCTTCTCTCTCTAGACTTCTCTCTAACCATATCGGAGATCTCGAACCCCAAAGGTACCGTTCGTTGTCATGTCTTCCGAAAGTCGCTTTGATGATGGATGTTCTTCCGGTGATGATCTGGAGTTTTATGAGCGGGGAATGCCACCCCGGCCTCCCCGTTATAGCCTCAACTTCTCATGCGTCCGGCGTCAAGTTCAACGCCTGACGAACGCTGACAAGCGACTGATCGGCCAATGGTTTTATCCCCCAAGGACCTACGACGATCGGCGTCTTCGGAACCCCATGCGCCATCTGCCCGGCTATGTGGTAGTCCACCTAGATTCGGTGATAGCCGGGCTGAACTTCCCCCTGCACAGCTTCCACTTGGAACTTTTCAGGGCCCTTGAGATTGTGCCTGCGCAGCTCGTCCCTGCCGCTTATCGGATAATCGCTGGCTTCATCATTAGATGCCACAGCGTCGGTGTGACACCCACCGTGGACCTGTTACACCATTTCTTCCGTCTGTCCACCTTCGGACGCACAGGGTATTTGACCCTAATCGCCCGTCCGTCCATGGTTCTGTTCTCGAACAACGCTGGGAATCCAGACGGTTGGGAAGAACGCTTCTTCCTGGCCGGAGTAGGCTCACCGATGCCATTCTCTGATCGGTGGAATGCCTACCCCGTGAAGACGATCCCGCCACCCATGACGGACGAGGAGCTTGGATATGCCAAGCGCATAGCCGGACTTGGCATCCAGAACCTCCGGTTGCTGGTGGCCGAGCCCTTTAAAGCTCAGGCTGGATTAGGTGCGTCCGTTTGTACTTGTATTGTTTTAACCTCTCTTCGCTGTTATGGTTCTGAACGTCTTGATTCCCTTTGTGCAGGAGTTTTTCCATCCACGTCCATCATGCGCCGAGACAATACCGCTCCGTCTGCCGCCGGTCGTGGACACAAGGGGCATGACAAGCCCGGGAAGCCGCTCGTCCCTAAGGTCGAAAACCGGGTGACCAGGGCACGGGCTGAGGATGATCTGGGAGCCGGCGCCTCCAAGAGGCTGCGCGTCGAGGGCACTGCCTCCAAGGCCATCATAGTGGCCGACGACTCTGATGGTGAGCCCGGGAGCCCCCTCAAGCGGAAGCCTGCCTCTCGGATCAGGTCCCGTCCTTCTCCCCCACGAACTTCTGACGTCCGTCGTCTCCGGGATGATGATGCCCAGACGGCCAAGGATTCTGACGATGCTCGTCCTCCTTCGCCTCCGGAAACCAATGGGTCCTCCCTTGGTTTGATTGAATTTTCCGGGGTTGGCTCGCGCAAGGAGTCAATGATGCTCTTTGGTCAAACAGCCTCCTCTATATGGTGCGGCCTGAATCTCAAGGTCCCTCAGGATTTTGCTGCTCAGGAGGCACCCGAAGACCTTCTGGAGTGTGGTCAGAGCACTTTGGACAAAGCCGGGCTCTACTTCCACAGGGCCCGGATGGCCTTCGAGCACCAGGGCAGGGAAATGGCCAGAGTGCGGGCTGAGTGTGATGCCCTTCTGAGGAACGCTAAAGGCAGGGCTGGCACTCTTCAAGAGAAAGCCGATGCCTATGATAAGCTTGTTCAGGAGAATGCCTCTCAGAAGGAGCTCCTTAAGAAGCAGGAGGCCGAGCTCGTGGATCTTCGCGGCCGGATGTGGGCCGTAGAGAAAGCCAAGGTGGAGCTTCGCCAGACGGGCATGGACAATCATGTCCCTATTTATGAGGCCGATGTTGCCAAAATCAAGGAGTCTGGTTCCATTGCCTTTCAGAAATCCAAGGCTTATACTGGCGCCATCCACACCATGGCCATGAAGTTCCTCCCGCGGCTCGTCGGCGAGTTCCTGGCCACCTGCCCGGATGCTTACCAAGATGGGGTTAAATTGCTCCAGGCCACCCCCACCGGACGTCGTTTCCTTGACGATCTCGCCGATGACACCTACCGCAAAGGTATGGTTGGGCTAGTAGCGGAGAATCTCCCGACGTTCGAGCGTCACTTTGGGGCTCCCTTCGACCCGGAGGCGGCTGGCTTCGACGTCTTGATGGCAGATGCTCATGCAGGGGCCCTTGAGCTGTTGAAGGAGCAGGAGGAAGCCGTTAAAAGTGACAAATCCAAGCAGGCCCCTTCCCAAGCTCAAGCTCCGGACGCCGATCGGACGTGATTCTCCGTTCATTATCTTGTACTTGTACAACTTTTCATTATTTGTATTGTACCCTCATACATTGTAACTTTCCGGCCAATAGTGCCGAGGAATAGAAATCATTCTTTGCTCCATGCTCGTCTGGCACTTTTTTTTTTTTTTTTTCGGAGTCTTTTAGTCTTCGTTCGTCCTTGGTCCTTGGTCCTACCGGCGTCCCTACTTCGAGGAGACGTTCGGTATCCGCAGACATCGCGAGGAAGAACAGGTTTATCTGCATCGAGATTCCCCCCTTCTTCGTTCGTCCGTGGCCCTTTTAGTCTTACCGGCGTCTCTTGCTTCGAAGAAGACGTTCGGTACCCAAGGAACTCGCAGGGACGAACAGGTTTACCCTCACGGGTTCCCGTCTTCGTTATCCCACGTCCATCGATCCATGGTCATTTGTGGGATAAACAGGTTTATCTTGGCAGGCTCCCTTGGTTCGTCTAGCCCCCTCCACGTCTCTACTAACCCCTACATCGAGAGGCGTTCGCCTTCGGCGGTGGGGGAAGATCTGGCACACCTGGGCAAGATTCCCTTCCGTATAGGAGCTACCCTCCTCTTCTCCCTATCTTTTTTTTTTTTTTTTTTTTTTTTTTTTTTTTTTTTTGAGGGAGGTAATCTATGATCTTCGTTCGTCCTTGGTCCTTGGTCCTACCGGCGTCCCTACTTCGAGGAGACGTTCGGTATCCGCAGACATCACAAGGAGGAACAGGTTTATCTGCATCGAGATTCCCTGGTGCTTCGTTCGTCCTTGGTCCTTGGTCCTACCGGCGTCCCTACTTCGAGGAGACGTTCGGTATCCGCAGACATCACAAGGAGGAACAGGTTTATCTGCATCGAGATTCCCTGGTGCTTCGTTCGTCCTTGGTCCTTGGTCCTACCGGCGTCCCTACTTCGAGGAGACGTTCGGTATCCGCAGACATCACAAGGAGGAACAGGTTTATCTGCATCGAGATTCCCTTCTTTAGCGGTCGTTCACTACTAGAAAAAGGACTTTTAACAACAAAAAATATGGTCGTTATAGGCCCGAAAGTTTGTCGTTAAAACTTTTAACGACCATTTTTTTCTCGTCGTCAAGTGGTTGTTACAGGTTCCCTCGTTATTGGTTTTAACGACAAAGTTCGTCGTTAATAATTAACGACGACACAATATTCGTCGTTAATAATTAACGACGACACAATATTCGTCGTTACATATTAACGACAAAAAACTCGCTTGTCGTTACATAATAACGACAACAAAAAAGATCAAAAAGATATTTTTGTTTTTGTACTCTAAAAACAAAAGGATAAAAAAAGATATTTAACTGTTATTTCATTTATAGTTTACAACTTTACATTTTACACTTTCGATTAAAGAATTATACAAAGCACAATACGAAAACAATCTTTTTAGACTCATAATTTGTTCAACAAATTGGAAAAAGAATAATAACAAGTACAGATTTTATTTATCACGATAATTATAATTCAAAACAATAATCATCCATATATACAAAATGAAATCTAAAAACACTATTCTAATACATTTGTCTTCTTTGAACAACGGGAAAGAAACTAATTCAATATTTTACAAAAATAACTTGTGGGGTTTGATGCGGCAACTTCTCACTTTCAAATACCTGCCATAAAATAAGAACATAACCTGGAACTCGTTAGAGAATATATATTTATAAATGTGTCCTAGGAATAATAGAAGCCAAACTAAAGCAAACCATCTAAGTTTGGAAACACAAATTCGACTATCTAAAATATTGTTAAACTAATACATTGCCAAGACAAGTTAACTAATGGCAAAACCAATGTAATCTCAATCTGAATTCCGATCGAAGTCTAAAGCAAAACCTAAACAACTACAAATTTCAATAACCCGCATTGCCAACAGCAACCACAACAAAACTGAAATCTCTTAAAAACACAATAGATCGAAATACATGTACTCAATAAAAACATATGTTCCACTAAAAACCAAAAAATGATTGCAAAGACAGTATCCAATAGGTAAGAGAGCAAGCCTCTCTAGCGGAAAACTGACTCTAAGCCCTAAAACAACAAAATTAAAAGTTTACCTGGTATGAAAAATCCTCGAAATGATAAGATCAGAAAGCAAACTCCGTAAAAAAAATGCACAAATTCAGGCAGCTCCGATCAAATGACAAACCCTAAACATAAGAAAATATCAACCTTAAATGTTACCAAATCAGCCCTATATTGACCACAAGAGTCTAAGCCAAAATTCAAATAAAAACCACCTGGTCCAAGCACAACACTACGAGAAAAGGCATTTATAACAATGAAAAGTATTAGCATTTATGCTCTAAACATTTTCATTAAAACATATAACAATGACTTCTTTTATAAAGTTAGTAAAACTTATGAGAAGATAAAAATTAATAAATCTTATGTACTTAGTCAGTAAGTTAAAAAAAAAGTCTATTCAATATAATCTTCACCATTAGTTGATCTACTCATAACTACACGTAAATCCCTCATAATAGTAAAGTGTAAACATCATTCTTTGAATTGATGAAACAAAAAATGATGGTATTTTAGTTCAGGGCCTAAACTTTTCGGGCTTGTAAATGATGGTATTTTATTTCAGGGCCTAAACTTAAGGCTTGCTAGAATTGATCGTGCTGATTCAAATTTAATTTCAATTTTGTTTGAAGCAAAATAATCAGTAATTCTCAAAATATCATCCCAGATAAAATTCAAAACAAATACGTGTTATAAATGATGCAAACAACATCAAATAAAAAAATGGATATACTTGCTACTGAAATCAGTGTTTTTAAGCATTACCATATTTGTCTCTCTACTCTCTCTATAATTTACTTATATCATCCAAACAAAAAACTCGGAAAATAAACCCTCACAAACCCAAAAACAATTACTTCCCATATAAATATATTCTGAAAGCAAGTTTTAAAGTTCATTTATGCAGCATGGCAGCGAACCATCGATTGGATAGATTCAATACAGATATATGTAGCAATTTCAAAGATTAACACCAGAGAACACAAAAGATTACATAAAAAAACACAACACCAGATTAGGACATTAAAGAGTACAGATCGAAATTACCTGAAACAAGGAGATCATGATGAACTGGTGATTAAACACGAAGCATGGTTTCACATACCCCACGTTACTGCCTGAAACTGCAAATATAGATGAAACGCATACACCATTGAGATGCTAAAATTGCACCACACTCGTGTATGAAACTCCAAATATAGATGAAACGCATGCACCATCGAGATACTAAAATTGTTAAATATTCCATAACGAAATAAGACATGTGAGTTTATAAGAATTTGGGATTATGAGTTAAGTTCTATAAAAATGTCATAATAATAAGTGAGTACAGCCTCAAGAGTCAAGATGGATTACCCAATTATTAATTCCTGCCTCAGATCCTCGGTCCATATGGTATGCTGGTGGACTTCCAATCAAACAGACTGCATATGGTTAAATAGAAAAATAATAAAATTTAGCAATGAACAATGAAAAAGAAAAATTAAGGAAATCACAAGTGTACGTGGTTCACCTGCTCCTTTGAAACAGCACTCTCAATCTAAGTGATATCCACAAAGAAGCCTTATGTTCTCAAAGCAATACGCATAAAACACACTAATCAATACAACCTGTTCAATTTACAACCTGTTTAGATAATACAATACTATTGATGTAAATAGAAAACAGTTTTTAATGAATCCAGTTTACTGCGTTAAACAGTCTGTTTTAGCTATGGAAACTGCATCCCATATCTAGTTTTAGTAGGTGCTCACTTTTTCTTATTCCATTTATGGCAGATTATAGTAAAATTATGGAGTATATTTTACACCTAATGGTATATAATGAACATAAGTACATAACAACATAAGTATAAAACTTAATTTCTAATAGGTAATATATCTAATTTTTACACCAAGAAATGACTTTTTACCATTTAAGATACACACATAAGTATAATCTTTATATCTGCATGTTAAATGATGTATTTAATTTGTGTTTAGCTTTAATTTTCTTCAGGGTAAAGTTAAAGCTGTGCTAAACCTTTGCATGTTAACTAATTAAGTCAGTATCTCAATAGCTTATGTGCATGGTGTAGCTCAGCATAAGTGTACTTAAGCTTTGCTTATTTGGGTACTTAAATTTGTGTGTAGCATACATGGCTAAGACCTGATACTTTCTTAAGTCAGTAACTTAAACTTATGTTAGTTTCTATAGGTTTTAAAAAGTTTGTGTATCTCATACTTCGTATGTACTTTGCATCTCCTAAAACTCCTCAAACTCCAGATTTGAAGTTTTTAAATCAGATGTAATAATACTTAATTGACTGTAATTTAACTGTAAATATCACTTTAGCATCACTGATAACATTTCAGGTGTACTAATCAACTGATTTTCATTTTTGTTAATGTACAATAATAATTATAATACTTTTATGGAGAAAGTTTAGCAATTCAGACGTTTCGGAAAACATCGATCGCGAATGTAAAGATTAAAACTCTCAGTGATTCAGCACAACAAATCAGACAAACAAATCAACGACATAGCTATTTACTTAATAAATTTAAACAAAAATCATCTAGATTGCTGAAAGATGTAATAAATGTTGAAGATAAAAGTTACCAGGACAAGAAGAATGAGCAATCGAACGATAATATTAAGGAAACCCTTTTCGGAAAATAACAACGAGAGGATACTTTTGGCAACTTTTCGCAATCGAGAAAG